AAAAAATGTCTCCCCCCCCCCCCCCTCTATTCAAGCTTGGCTTCTCCATTTTTTTTTTAATGTAAAGTAGTCCCCAAGCCCGCTCCAGTGATGGACTACTGGACTACAAGCTCAATACAACTTAGTAAACTGAACAAGAGACTGTAGTCCATCCCGGGAGCGAGCTTTGAGTGGTGAATACTTTACAACACACACAGGGACCATGGGGAAGAAAAGTAGGCACCCTCCAGAAGGAAGGACAGTGTCAGCACCAATTCAGAGATGATTTGAGGACCTACAGCCGAGTGATACACAAATAAAATACAGTTTTGTTAATAGTTAAGGTTCTTGAATGTATTTTTAAGATTTAACTCCTGAGTTTAGTGTCACTTTAGGTTAAGCTGGCCATACACCTTACAATTTATCTGCAGATTTTCTGTGTTGTCAGATGGAAAAGGTGCACCAGATTCCTCCATCTACACTTAAGTGTGTGGATGGAGTAATCTCCATCTGGGCAAATCTGTTGCACTTTTTCCATCTGACCACAGAAAATCTTCAGATAAATTGTAAGGTGTATGGCCACCTTTTAGATAGACCGATGTTTGGTTGCACAAATCATCAAACTTTATTTGTGACTATATGAGGTTATAGAGCACATTGATGAAAGATTTGTGTGAAGATTATTAAGCATAGACATTTCCACTGTACAATAAACAATAGTTTTCTGGGTCCTTGCTTAACTTCGTAGGTTTTATCTGAACTTGTATTAAAGTTAATTGCCCTTCTTATTTCTTAGATAACAATCATTGTTCTTCCTTGCCTTGTAAAAATGGAGGGATTTGCAGTCACCTTGACAACGATTACAGCTGCAAATGTGCATCACCCTATATTGGGAAGTCCTGCCAAATTCGTAAGTAGTTTTATTATCGTAATTAAATTCTTATTATTATTGGTATTGACAGTATGGTAAAGATTTGGATGGTCTGTTTATTATACTGGCAGATGCCGGCACTGACCTCCTAAGATTTTTGTAGGTTCGTGGGAATAGATTTATCACATATATAAACTCTGTTAGAAGTGATTTTCTGTGTTATCACAGATTATTTCTCTGTATGGTGAAAGTAAGAGTAGATACTTGAAGGGGACCTTTTACCCATATCTTTAAAATTACAATAAACACACCTTTAGAAATGTTTAGTAATGACAATCTACAAACAGATACTTCTAGATAATTGCCGGCTTACTATTCTTCGCATATTCTTTTTTTCTTCCCCCTCCCCCCAGTTTTCTGGCAGTGGCCATGTTTACCAAGGGCAGATTACTAGATCTCTTTTTTTACTTCCTGAAAATCTGGCACGTGTGACTAGACATGTGACCATGAACATCATCTCAGGGGAGGAAAATGCCTTTCCCTGAGATCTCGTGAGATTACAAGGCAATCCCAGTGTGCATTGCTTTGGCAAACTGAAGTCATTTTGCCCTTCCAAAGCAGGAAGTGAATGCTCTGCAAGTGTAAGTATTTCTAAATCAGAGCATTTTATACCTGACATGTCTATGTTATTATTAATGATCATACATAGAGGGATGCATTGGTAGAATTTGATTTTTGAGTGTAAAGGTCTGCTTTAAAGCAGAACTCCGTGGAAAATGTTGCTTAACCCTTGCTGTGGGGCTACCCCCGCACTGCAAGGGTTAAATGCTCATTTTTGTCTAAGTTGAAAAATAACAAACTATTATATTCACTCAATCCTTGGAGTTGGCATGCTCTTAGGCCTGTCCCCGGAGCCTCCCCTCTCCTCTGCTGCAATGATGGAATATTCTTTGGCATCCTTATGTCCTATACACAATGAGGGGAATTTATCAGAACTGGAGCAGCTGTACATGGCAACCAATCGGCTTTTCATTTTCAAATTTTAATTGAGCAAACTAAAAAGAGAAGCTGATTGGTTGCCATGCACAACTGCTCCAGTTTTTGCCTTCTCCAGTTTTGAAAAATTCCCCCCTATGTATAGAATGTGATGACTCACTGGACCTTTAGAGTGCTGGAGGGGGGGGGGGGGGGGGGGGTGGGGTGGAAGGGACCGGTCTAAAAGCAAGCTGGCCCCAAGGAACGGGGGAGTGAAAGTTTAATTTTGAACCTAGACAAAAATTACCACTTAAGCCTTGAGGGGCTGGCTCTATTGCAAGGGATAAGAAATTAGCCGGAGTTCTGCTTTAATAAAACCCTACTGATAGCTGGAAGCTCCTAAAATATTTTCAGGTTTTTGGTGCACCCTGTGCACATGAAATGACCAGAACCGGGATTATGGAATCATTTAGTCAGTTTGATTTCTTTGCTGTCATGTTCCCTACGTAGAAATGATTTTATATTAATTTCATAGGTCAGGAATGGCTTGTCAGTCAGTATTAACAAGGATGCATTTCTTAAATCTGTTTCATTACATGATTCATTATTGTTTCTGAAATGTCTAGGAAAGTTTTTCCATGCTGCTTAAAAAAAAAAAAAAAAAAAGTCACGCTGTGATTTGTGTGTCAGAGTGTCTAACCTGCAATCTTAGGTTTTATATTCACTTACATAAACCAAATATGCTTTAGACACACCTTTTTATTGTTTAACAATTTTAAAGTAAACCTGTCATTCGAGAAATATGGTGTCCAGCATTTGTGAGCTGCTTCTAAAAATGAATGCTAGTTGCCTGGCTGTTATGCTGACACAGTGACTTTAGTTATTTGTATTTCTGACCCCCAGAACAAGTGTGCGGGCCTACAAAGTCAGAGTACAGTCAGAAACCTTTACCTGAATAAAGCTGGGTATACACTAGTGTATGGATTAATCTCGTGTGGCGGCTTTTGTATTTTGACCATCCTGTAAAAATAACTGTGACTGCATCTGATTGGATGCACAGGGCTGTTCAGCTGACAATTTTATGCCCGACTCCATCAATTTTTAAATTGAAGAATGTTGGGCTGGAGGTGGCAGACAGGGCTATCCACTGAATGAAATCCACCAATGTAAAGCCAGCTTAGCTGTTCTGGGTTAAGGTGGCCATGCACTTTACAACCATCGCAAGACCTTAGTCTTGCGATGGTTGTAAAGTAATTTAAAAAATCGTACGATCTGCCCATCTTGGGCAGGCAGATCGTACTTGCGATCATCGCAAGCCCGCCCCCCTGAGGGGTGGGCTTCCGATGACCGCAATGCTGAACGGGCAGTGCGGCATTGATCTTACGATCATGCTAAAAACCAGTACGATTCTCGGCTGGTTTTCTAGCATGCTCCTTAGACAAAAGACGTGCGACCGTACAGTACGTCTTCCATACACATTGCGATTATCGTACGATCGCGGGATTTCCCGCGATTACCGTGCGATTATCGCACAGTGTATGGGCACCTTTTAGAGACTCAAAATACTAATGCTGGAAGGTCAAACAAACAGCTGGGCAATTAGCATTTTTCAGGAAAAGTCTGTAATTCCTACATCTGTTTTACTAATGAAGCATAAGTAATGAAGGTGTTTTATGGTTCTAATTCTCCACTTTTTATGATTAACATGTGAATCCCGTTCTAATAACACATTTCTATGTATTTGTCTAGGCTGTGCCAATGCTCTGGGAATGGAGGGTGGGGCAATAGCTGATGCCCAGATTACATCGTCTTCCTTGTACCATGGCTTCCTTGGCCTACAGCGGTGGGGGCCGAACCTTGCCCGTTTGAACAATAAAGGCATGGTTAATGCGTGGACTGCAAGTAGCAATGACCCACACCCCTGGATTCAGGTATATGACGATCAAGAAAAATAAACCATTATGCCACCAGTTTGTTCTTACACACGCTGGGTTCAGAAGGATTTCCAGGCAATTTTCCACCCAACTGTCTATAAAAGAAAGATGACATACATGCCTTGTCCACTTTGTCACCACGTACCATGAAGCAGTTGGCTTGCTGCACTCTTTCTGGCCCCAAGATCACAGAGTGACCACAGGGCATCCAATTTGAAGCCTGTGTGCCTGGGGCCTTTTTGTCACAGGATCTATATCCCTTTTTGATATCTTTATTTTTGGAGAAACATTGATCTCTAACATGTTAGTCAGTTTAAGTGGACTTTTGAGATAAGTTTAGTGTGAGATTAGTTTGAACTGTACCTTTTTTTATTTCTCTGTGCACGTCCGTATGAATGCATGGTACACACGACTCAAACACGTCTCAGGTATGTCTTTAGACTGGCCCTAAAACTGCATGCAGAAGGAGCAAAAACTTTTCGTTTTGTTTAAGGCTACATTCACACTAGGTGCGATTAGATGCGTTTCATATGCATTGAAAATGGTTTTGTAAATGCATATAGATGCATCTAATGATTTTCAATGGATCTATTCACACCTTGTGTTTTTAGATGCTTTTATCTGCAGTTCAGCTGCGTTTAGAAAAAATTAGATGTTAAATGCATGTATACGCAAGATGCATTTATTTGCTGAAATCTCATTGGCTACTTCAATGTAACTTTTCAATGGACAAAGGTCAGATGTATCTAAACACGTGTCTAAATGCGCATAATTGTAAGCATCTAGAACATTCTTCTCTGAGGACAGTGAAATCTATCTAATGGAGCCCCAGATTGCACTAACCCTTCTCCTCCTGCATCAAAAACCGTTTTGGCTGGACATGCACTTTTTAAAATTTGTTTTTTTCCTGCCACCCAGTCTGTATTTGCCACAAATGGGTCTCAGTGTTCTCTGTAGTCCTAAAATCACAGAGTGACCACAGAGAATCTAATTTTGAAGCCTGTTTGTCTGGGGCCTTTTTGGCACAGGCTTTCTAACCCTTATTGATGTTTTTCTATAATTTTCTTTTTATTGGGGGAAAACTATTTTAAGGATACCGCAAATGTACAAATAAGAGTCATCTCGTATGATCCTCATATAATCTTGTTTCTGCTTTATCTACTATTCAAAGCCTGGTTAGGACCAATAAACCAAAACAAATCTTCTGTAAAAAAGGTCATCTTAGAAAAGGGGTGAGGTTTTAGGCCCCAAAGCTTGTGTGCCTGCAGGCTCCATTAATGGTGAACTGTGCCATCTGATGCGGTGACTTCCTTTTTTTTTTTTTGTCCCCTGTGTAGGTGAATCTGTTAAGGCAGCTGCAAGTTTCTGGAATCATCACCCAGGGAGCCAGCCGGATGGGAAAAGCAGAGTACCTGAAGGATTTTAAATTGGCCTACAGTGCTGATGGACAAGAGTTCACCTTCTACAAGCGTGAGGGTCAGGATAAAGACAAGGTAGGAGCTGACTAGTTGCTGTGACCGATATTTTGCTAATTATCTAGAAATGTAGTGTATAGCCAATAGTGTGTGTGTGTGTATATGTATGTATATGTGTGTGTATGTATGTATATGTGTGTTTGGGTGTGTATTAGGGCTGCACCGATACTTTTTCGAGTACCATTACCGATACTTGGCATTTTCACGAGAACTACCAGGGTTGCAGCTGGGACCTGGCTTTGGTGCTCCACCACTGTTCTGAAATCATTAGTTGATATTGTTTTAGAAAAACTGTCACATGACAATAAACAAAAATTTATCAGTACTTGTATCTGTGAGTACTTGGACAAGTATCAGTACTTGTACTCGCAAAACTGGTTTCGGTGCATACCTTTTATTTATAAGAAAAAAATCATACATTAAAACAGAGATGTACAAATCCCAGGAGCTCCGTGTGCTCCTTACAAATGACAGCTGCCTCCTAACTTTTTAATTTTTCTCTAGTCTTTGAGCTGGAAAAGTATCTGTACTTGTACAGAGTAATGTACTTGGTATCGGTGCATCCCTAGTGTGTATGTGTGTCTGTCTCTCTCTCTCTCTCTCTCTCTCTCTCTCTCTCTGTGTTATAATAGCTAAATAGCACTATAGACTGACTCTAAATACTGTCATGTCTGTTTTTCCTTCTAGATTTTCCATGGAAATAGGGACAATGAGGGTCGAAAGGCCAATATCTTCAGTCCTCCCATCACTGCCCAGTATATTCGTGTGTACCCTGTGACTTGTCACAGAGCCTGCACTCTGCGTTTCGAGCTCTTTGGCTGTGAAATGAGTGGTAATATTTTTTTTTCTTAAATTTTAGTTGTTTGCTTTGCTTTTCTTATTTGCATATGGCTTGAAAACCAAGAAGACTTGTATCGCTTTGCTCAAATAGTACAACCTCTCATAGCTTCAGTCTTATTCTCACAACACCTCATAGTGGTACACGTGCTGCGCTCAGCCTCATGAAGTTTTGCTAAGCTTAGAGGAGGTCATTAACCATACAGATTATGGTGTGGAGAGACTGAAGAAATAAGAATTGGTAAGTAGCACAGTAAAATGTTCTTATAACAGTAGTTATTCACATATCTTATCTGAGGACCGCTGGCATGTATACAGTAGCTTTGTGGTTCTGGATGTACATTTGGCTGTTGGGGTGTAAAGGAATGATTTGCATAGCTCCACCCACTGCCCTCTAATGAGGAATAAGCCCCTCGTTTTTGGAATATGTGAATACCTTCTGTTCTAAGAAGGCTTCACTGTGTTACGCACTGATTCAGTTGGAGGGCTTTATGGTTTCTTTAGCATCTTTTTGGCCATAATCTGTGTAGTTATATTGTTTTGTTGGGTCCCAAACCCTACTCTGTAGAAGCCATGATTTCCAGACGCTGCACTGATAACCAAGCAGCCTGAAACAGCTGTGTGGAATAAATAGCTCTATATTATTAGCAGGGCTCGAAAAATCCACTCGTCCACTCGTCTGTGACGAGTGGACGGTGGAGCCCGACGAGCAGCTTCATAGGCCATATTTACACTACACACCAGTGATGTCTGGATGTGGCCAAAACGGAATGGCTTTGCCCACTATCCTGAAAGAGGACTAAGTCTCTTATTTTTGGAATATGAGATGAAGGGGTCATTAACTGCAATATTTTACTGCTTCTAGTTTAGTCTCCGGTTTTTACTGCTACTAGGGGCTATATTGGTGAGCTTTTCCTGTCTTGGTAACAGCAGTTTTACCAGGGAGCGAGGGAAAGTCTCCAAAAGCAAACTGCCTCTAACAGAACCCTGGAGAACTCTGTCCAAAGCAAAATAAATGTTTTGGCTTGACGTACACTTTAAATGTGGGTTTGTAAATAATTTTTTTCTTTTTATATGGTCAAATAAAAAAATGTAAAATGTTTCAATTTTTCAGTTAAGTAAATGCAAAATATTGCATTTTATATAGAACATTCTAGTCAATAGCTTATATTGCCACAATATCGTAGCCCATGACACCCCATTGTGTATTGAGTAAAGGGACACTATACACTGTAAATGAATACACCGTAAAATTTTATTGGAACTTATTTTGCACGCAAGCAAACTTTTCTGTTAAATGTATTTATTATCAGTATTTATATAGCGCCAACAATTTACGCAGCGCTTTACATACTGCACATTCACATCAGTCCCTGCTCTCAATGAGCTTACAGTCTAAGATGTGAGAGTCCCTATCTCACAAATATACACATTAGGGCTGATTTTGACAGGAGCCAATTAACCTTCCAGCATGTCTGTGGAGTGTGGGAGGAAACCAAAGTACCCAGAGTTACGCCATGCAGATAGTATCCTGACCAGTTAATTCACATATCTTATTGGGATGATCCACAGCCAATTACTGTTCTATTTCGCTCCAAGATTTGTGGAAGAGTAACAGAGGGGGCCTAGAACAGTACACATGCCATCCCCTGTTTTATCATTTTATCCATTTGTTTTTTTTATATGACCAAAGAAAGGAAACAGCCTCTGCTTTCTTGAGCTGTCTGCCCATACATATATGATAAAGTACCAGCTCACCTTTTTGACTAAGGCCTTAAAAGTTTTCTTTCAATAGAATGTGTATGGAATATTTTTATTTTTTTTCCTCATCCACAATCTGCTAAATGTATTTGAAACCAAACACTGACAATGATTCAGCAACATAAAACCTGAAACTCTGCTTTTGATCTTTTGTTGTTGTCATTCCCTGCATCGGTGTCTCCATCTAATGGTGCATAATACAATTGCACAACACTATCCTTTAATCAGAAGCATATGCACTGGGTAGTGATCCAGCTTAATGCCGGCTGAGTCAGTGTGATGATATGTTATATGGAATTAGAACCCACATATTGAGAAATCACACACTGCTATATTTACTAAACCATAACAAGTGATTCAAAGAGGCGGAGGCTTAGTTACGAGTTTAATTGAATGCAAATTGATGTATTATAGTAAAGGAGCATATCAAATGTTAATTTTCCTAAATACATACTGAAAATTTAGTGTTACCATTCAACAGTATTGACTGTATCTACTACTGTAATGAAAAGCTTTTTTTTCCCTTTTTTAGGCCTCATTCACACTCGGTGTGCACACCCATGAACAGCTGAGCCCGGGAGGGACAGGCTGCTGCACATGATTGCTCGCAGCAGCCTGTTCTTCTGTATTTGAGGACGCGGCTGTATGGTGTTATACGGACACCCAAACTGCACATCTGTGTGGGTACGGGTGTCCGCACTTGGACGCAGAGAGGATCCATCCGGTCTGCGTCCAAGTGCGGATACCCATACCCGTACGGATGACCGCGTAGTGCCGCGTCCTCCCATAGGGAAGAACAGGCTGCTGCGTGCAATCACACGCAGCACCTGTCCCTCCCGGGATCGGCTGTTTACAGGTGTGTACCCCCAGTGTGAATGAGACCTTAGAGGAGTTTTTAACTTTAGGAAGAAAATTTTATATTTTAGCTTTTCATCTTTTATATTTACATTTATCACTTTGAGACAGCTTCCATAGCGCAGAATCTTTTTATATTCAGAAAATTAACAACTACATCTGCTTTTGTTAGTCATCCATGTCATTCAGTCTTGGTAAAGGCATTATTATTCTGTGAGGCCCTTTCTTCTGTAAAAGGTGTATTTCCTGGAAGTAATTGACGTAGTCCCTTTTTTCTATTATAAATGGAAATTGTACTGAATTTAAGGTGTGTTTTCACTTTTGCAGCCAAATTGGGATAACGCCCATTTTATATTCATTACATGTTCCCATTCATATTGCATAACTCCATAACTGAAGTTTTACCATTTTCTGTGATTCAAGGTGGAGGCTTGAGCTGGGTAGAGGCAATAATGAGAGAGATGATGTTTATTGAAAGTAACCCTGCCTGAGTGAACCACCCAGCGACAGGAAGTATGATTATTCTTACAATCATCAGCTATAAATAAAGGAGAGCCTGAAAAAAGGGAACTAATGCCGCCCTCACATCTAAGGATTGGCAAGGTGCAATATATTACATTTTTCTTCTTGGGTTTAGATTACTTTAAGGCCCCGTTCACACTGAGCAATTTGTCATGCGTTAATTCCGCGATATCGCGGCTATTTACCGCGCGATATCGCTCTCCAATGCTTGGCAGTGGGGCAAAGGGTCCTGCTGTCGTGGGTCGTGCGTCAGGACCCTTTTTGGAGCGGATTTTGGCGCGATTCTAGCTTGCTCAATGCAAGCATTTGCACGATATCGCGCAAAATGCAAATCGCACGACAAACGCGTGATTTGCGCAGTGTGAATGGGGCCTAAAAGTTAATAAGATTATCACTAGGAAGTAGGAAATAATGACCACGTCAGGTGTACATTCCAAGAAAAGCAAGTAAATAGATCTAAAAAAAACAGGTACCAGAGAGATGTAAGAAGCTGTCAATTGGTTTAACTCTTCAAAATCTACCAAAATAATTTCAGTTTTGAGTGGACTGACCCATTACTGGAATTGTTGGACACCACATAGAGTATTATCTTCTTCTGGCAGTAATGGTGCCAGTTGTTCTGGATAGGCATTCCTCCGTGATCTCCAGCTGTTCTACACTTAGGCATGGTTCCAGCTATTGTCATCATAAAATTACTGCTATGCTTTATTTGGTAGAGGCTACTTTTTTAACTGTCATGTTTTTACTGCTTTTGCTCTATATCACGCCTGCATTGAGCTTGTAATGTTGAGCACTCCTTCTTCCCATCCTCTTGTAAACCGTTGTGTTACAGTATATTTCAACATGGTAGGTTGCTCCGAGCCACTTGGAATGAAATCCTTCCTGATCCCTGATAAGCAAATTACAGCATCCAGTGTGTTCAAGACTTGGGGAATTGATGCATTTACCTGGCACCCACACCTAGGCCGCCTGGATAAGATAGGGAAGACCAATGCCTGGACTCCCCTGGAGGATAGCCAGTCAGAATGGTTGCAGGTACGTGGTGTACATTGCCCAGCTGTACCATGGACACTAGAGGTTTTTGTAATACACAAAATTCATTATGCACCATTTTTCTTGTCAAGGAGCGAATGGGGTCACCTTCTTATCTAACATTTTAATAAAACTGAAACTTAACAATGGAACACAGCCTTTGGTATAAAGGTAAACAAACTATACATTTGTTTAAAGACTGCTATAGCTTATTCAAACCCCCAAATATTTTTTTCCCACTTGTGAAGTCACTTGAACTAATATGTGAAGATCAAGGGACACTGCATGTTAAAGAACTATTTTATAACGTGCTGCAGCCATGAAATTGTTACAATGTATTGGGGCTTGTTCACACCAATTGTGCTGCGATCCAGAGCGGGAGCTGCTGGAACGCACCCCAAATGCTCTCAAAACTTCTCCCTTTGTTCTGGGGCTGGAGGGGGCGTGGCGGTGCATTGAAATCAATGCCACCGCCCCAGTCCACGCTCCCCTGCCCGCAGTGCGACTGGATGGGTGGCAAAACATTCCCTGCAATCCGTTCCACTGCAAACGTGAAAAAGCTCAGGGGGAAGTTTGGTGCATTATGGAACAAGAAACCGTGTATGCATACATTACCTGACTTTCTTCACACAGGAGCCCTGTCTGCATTCGTATAGGCTTTACGCAAGGTGGACTGTCTCTTTAAGGCTGTAATTGTTATTTTATAAGCATGTTAAAATAGGGATGCCTTCACGCCCCTGCATTTTGGTGTGGTGCATTAAAAAAAATTCAATTTTTTTTTTTTTTGGTTCAGTGTTGGTCAAAATGCATCTTCCATTGTGATGAATGATAATGCGCCTAAAACACAGCACACATAAAATGCATTGTACTTCTCATAGCCTACGGCTCCGTTCACATCTTTGCCATGTGGGTGCTCGTGTGATGCTGCACGCATTCCCGCATTGCATGTTACAGTGTTAGGTGCACTGCAGTAAAGCACCTAGCTATTGCATTTGCATTGCACCACATTGCATGGTAACCTATTACCATGTGATGTGGTAGGCAGCCCATTCAAAAGGCACCACAACATAACCTTTGGGATGATGCATCTCAAAGATGTGAATGGAGGCTTTGTATTCTCTGTGGCCAGTCAAGTTTTGTTAATCAGTTGGTGTTTTAATTTCTTTATACCACCCAAGACGACCTTTGCACTTCCACTCTCTACATTCCTCCTATGCAGTTTGCTGGAGGTTACACTGTATTTCCTCTTGTTATCATTAACCTAAATAAATAACTTGTAACCGTAATGTGTTTGGTCACCATGTGATAATAAGTTACAGTACGGGTGAATGAGCAATGAATGTATATACTTGTGCTGGGGGCTGTGCTGCAAGATGACAGGATAATTGATCAGGGGAACGTCTCTTATATTGTATACAGAGGAGATGACCGCATAATTGATCAGGATAACGTCTGAAGTGTGATGTGCCATGAATGGCTTCCAACTGTATGATCACAAGCCAGAGTTTATGTAGGAAAGGGCAAGGGAAGTTCCCTAAATGACCGCTTTAGTAGTTATAGCAATTAAGTCTTTCAGCTGTGCTCGGTCATGTTTACTCCTAAGCCGTTTCACACACATAAATCATGCGTGGTAATCCGCACTCCTTTTCCCAAAGACAAGGGTATTTCTCCTACGCGCCTCATATCTGTGCTGATCTATTCATTTCAGTTACTGGGTGGCCTGTAAAAATACAGTGGAATATTACAGCACAATGTAATAGCGTAGGAATCCTCAGTCATGTCACATCACATTATCATTCACTGTTTAAATATGTGGCATTGTTTTTAGGATTGGCGTCATCGAAGGGGTGTTCAGTAGTAGCTACAGACACTTGTGTCACGAACAGGGTTATTTACAATAGGGTGAAGAGTTTGGAGAAGGCAGGAGAAGGGAACAATCTAGGACAACATAGCTGATTTGGAAAAATTCTTTCCTTCTCTTCTCCAAACTCTTCACCCTTTAGTCAATATCCCTGTAAATGTTTGAACCAAAAAGAGGTTTATTGAAACTTTTTTTTATACTAAGGGAAATGGTCTCACCATGTGCTTGGAAGGTTTTCATGTGCTCACTTGTTTGTTGTACTTAGACAATTGCGTTTTTTATGGTGTTATGAATAATCGTTATTAAGCAATTGATCTATACAGTGCACCCCGCGGTTGGAAGGAACAGCTGTAAGTCTAAGGCCTCATTCACACCAGGGCGGAAGTGTTTCAGCATGATTTTTGAAAGGGCGCTTTTGGGCATTTTTAATCACGTTTCAGCACTAAAACTTAATTTAAAAAAGCCCCAAAATGTGATAATCAGCGTGTGTTCTTTGAAATCTACCTGGAAAAAGCGCAAAAAAAGTAGCTCGGGGAGCATTTTAGGCAACAGGCAGTTTGGATCGTGCGGAGCCAAGTGCTTGCATGAACGGTTCCTGTGGGAATGCATGGGATTGTTCATGTCAGCGGTTCAGCGCGGACAAATCCGGGCGACCAAACCACCCTGGTGTGAATGGGGCCTTAGATGAATGATGGTTGCTTATATTAAATGTCACTTTGGACTACACGCCTTATTCCACAGCTGCCATGCTGCAGCTAAAGGTTTGCATCTTTGAAATAAAGATTGCAACATAAATGCAACACTTAAAATCTTAAGCTATTTGAAATTAAACAATTTTTCAAAGCTCTGCACAAAACACCGAGCTTTTTAGTGATACCACCCAGTGTTGTGTGTAAAATATAATTTTGCCCGGAGTGTGTCTTTAAAGTGTATACAAACCCTAAGAATGGACTTCCCATATTTGCTCTTTTGGGCTGTTAAGTATGCAATTGAAAGTATTTTGTTATATAGTATGTTCAATAAGTGCAAAAAGTGCCGGTTGATTCGTCCCAAAATGCAGTGAGCTCCTGGGCACTCTGCAGTGTTATTTCAAGTGATATCAGCCCTGCACAGTTCAACTCTGTGGACTATAGAACACTTCCTCACTATGTTATGGAGATAAGTAGAGGGGGGAAGTGTTCTGTAGTCCTACACAACTTGCTGTCCTAAGGGGACAGCCCTGCTCCTGCATAGATACAGTACAACAAGTAATCATTTCCACCTTTTGTGTGTTACTGGCAGGATCACCAGGTGCAAAAAACAGGTCTGGTAAGCTGCAATAAATTAAATTTGTGCTCTTGGATTTAGATACACTTTAAAGAAGAACTCCATGATTTTTTTTTTTAATTAATCCTTCCAGTGGGACTACCTCCTCACTGCAAGTTGTAACTGCTCATTTGTGTCTAGTTTAAAAAAAAAAAAGCAGAGATACCCACCCAAAGCTCCGAGCCGGCTTCTTAGACCAGTCCCTGGAATGTCCCTCCCACTTTGCAGCGTTCTTATTCTATACTGTAAATTATCACATCTATACACTGTGCATGGATGCTGAGGAACATTCCAATGTGCTGCGGAGATTGTTCACTTCTCCTGTCTTCTCCAAACTCCTCACCCTTTTGTGAATAGCCTTGTTAGACAGTTTACTGTATTTTATTTGCCTATGGAATACACTGCCTGGCTAAAAAAAAAGTCACACACTCTAATACTTCGTTGGACCCCTTTAGCTTTGATTACTGCACACATTGACCATGGAATCATTTCAATAAGCTTATGCAATGTCAATTCATTTATTTAAATCCATAATTGCGCTAAATTTATCACCGAGATCTTTAGTGATGATGGGGGAGTCAGACCACTGCATAACATCTTATCCAGCACATCCAAAAAAATGCTCAATCGGGTTAAGGTCTGTGCTCTGTGGTGGTCAATCCATGTGTAAAAATGTCTCCTGCTCCCTGAACCACTCTTTCACAATGTGAGCCCAATATGCTATCAGGAAGAAAAAATCCATTGATGGAGGAAACCTGATCACTCAGTATATTCAGGGAGACAGCTGACCTCAATTTTTGGCCATATAACTTTTCTGAACCTAGACCTGACCAACTGAAGCAACCCCCATAGCTGTTACCCATTTACTTAGGAAAATTCAGGTGGTGACTTTTTTTAGGTCAGGCAGTGTAGTGCATATGTTGCTTTTTTCTAATTGTAATATTTCTGTGATGTGTCTTTATGTTTTAAAGAATTATTTTAGGTACACACTGTAATAGTCCTACTTGTAGCATTGTACTGGAGGGCAAAAGCAAAGTCCTTTTTTTGTCTTCTCGCTGCTCCAATACTTTTTTATGTAGTTGCTCTGCCTTTTATTATTAGCACGCTTTGTATAATTTAGAGCTAAATCCTAAAGCATTTCTTGCTTTACCATGAACAGATCCTGTTTACAGATCAATCAGATTATATATACGTTATTGATTGAGTCCTTTTGATGAAATGATACGTGGCAGGAAAGGTCCGAGGACATTTAAGACACTGAATCCTTCTATTGGATCATCCTGCCGCTCATGTTCTGCTCTGTCATGTTTTCATTCTCTGGTGATTTAACAGGCTGGGACATGTAGAATGTATAGCTTGTAATCTCTTTGTTTATTGAATGGATCATTCATTATGAGGAAGAGCACATCTCACTGACAGCTCATGGTTATCTGGATATTTTATCATAGGCCGTCTACATTGACATAATCTAGAGTGAACAGTAGTTACATCATGCTAGATGTAGAACATTGCCTCATTCTGTGGCATTTTAATGTCTCCAGGATTTACTTCCCATACAACATTACATCTCACAGATAGAGCCACTGCTGGTTTGTTAGTTTATTTCGAGAACATGAAGAGAGCTTATTTGATCACAGTAGATGTCATGCATGGAAGTCAACCAGCTACACAACCATAACAATAGATAATGACATTTTTATTAGATACGGAAATACGACTTAAGTCACCGAAAATAAAGTTGATGATATCTCGGCCTTTGTTGTGATTAAGAGACTCTTTGATATGCAGACCCCTCTATGTTTTTATGCATGATGTTTTAATTCTCTCCATGGCCGAAAGCAGCCCCGTGTAAATAAGCCATCACAGTGATGTTCAGAATGCTGTTTCAGCTTGAAAACAGATGTTATCTTTATGGCCCTTGGCTTGTTGTGTTAGGCTCCCTAGTTGAGTTTTGGTTTGTTTTTACCTTTCAATACTTAAATGTGACTTCTAGATACCTGCGTGAATTATTTGGCCCTCCAGTCATTTTTGTAATGTATTTTTATCTGCAGAGTAATGTCGTAAAAACTTCAGTGTTTCTTTTTAGTTCAACAAAGATTCTGGCATCTGAATCATCCATACAAAGCCCTTTTTATGATAATGGCCAGGAGGGTGCCACTGGTCAGCATTAAAAGACTTAATTAAACAATTTGTAGCTTTTTTTTTCTATTTTCTTTCATCTCGTCTGGTTATCTCTGACATCTATGAATAAAATCAGATTCCGAGTATAGAGTGGGTGATGAATCTGGTATGAGAAGTCACGATACTGTAGTGCGTTGAAAGGGCACGTGTAGAACTGCATGATTGTACAAAGGTTTTTTACAGTATACATGACTATTCACCTCTATGGATAAATGAAGCTACCATTCAAGCAAAGAGTGGTTGAGCACAGCCTTGGATATGGGCAGTTAAAAAAAAAAATGTAATTTTTTTCATTCACCAGTATGCATAGGGAACTCAGAGCTATGCATCTCTGGTACACATAGATACCAGAGGGCAGGCACGATCTGAAAACCCTGACACCTGAATGGGCTAGCATCATCCTTCACATTAATGATTGCCTTGAAAGGTCATATGTTTAGTCTTTTAACATGGTAGGGGTGGACAGTCACCTCCTGTCAGCTTATTGGAAATGAGAGGGGAGAACAGTTTCAGTTGAACAAGCTTTCCTAATCTGTTTGATTTCCATTTCCCTCCAAGAAGCATGCTGCAGCAATAACTGCAGCTATCTCATAGACCTGGCATTGTTCGAGCAACTGCCATGTTCTTGGGTACAGATATGTCAATATCTTAGAAGATCATCAGAAATGTCACCCTTCAAGAAGATCATCAGTTTTTTTATAATTATTAACAGTATTTATATAGCGCCGACAATTTATGCAGCGATTTACATACTGCACATTCACCCCAGTCCCTGCCCTCAAGGAGCTTACAATCTAAGGTAACTAGCTCACATGCACACAGGGCCAATTTTTAGACAGGAGACAATTAATCTTCCAGCATGTCTTTGGGAGTATGGGAGGAAACCGGAGTACTTTAACCCATGCAAGCACACAGAGAACATGCAAACTCCTTGCAGATACTGCCCTGACCACTTACTTTTGCCATTCAGAAAAAACAACATTTTCAGTTTCATTTGCATGCAACAATTTCATTAAAAATCACTCCGATTTTTCTACTAGATGATGAATAATATGCACTTTAGTAGATCACATTACCCGAATGTGTGTGTTTTTGATAAGTGTGTGTATTTATTTCTCTTTATTTTTGATTAGTGTGTTTTATATATTTTCTGCAGGACTTAACTTTTTGGTATGTTGAAAATATAGTATGTAGATGAATTAAAAATACAACTGTACATGTGAATCACTATTCTGCTTTTCAATAGGTTGACCTCGGATTTCCTAAGAAGATCACAGGAATTGTGACACAGGGCGCAAAAGACTTTGGAAATATTCAGTATGTTGAATCATTTAAAGTGGCATACAGTGACAATGGCTCCACCTGGACTATATATCAAGACAGCAGGGCAAAGAATGATAAGGTACCTCCTATCTGTTCTCCCATCATGTTTTCTTTACATGCAGCTACACATATACAGGGTTATTCACAAGACGGTGAAGAATTTGGAGAAGCGAACAATCTAGGCCAAAATAGATGATTTGGAAAAATTCTCCAATTCAGCTCACTTTCCAGTTCAGCTATGTTGTCCTAGATTGTTCCCTTCTCCTGCCTTCTCCAAACTCTTCACCCTTTACTTCACTGTGAATAACCCTGATAATGTTTGAAAATACACCTGCACTTTGAGCATAATTCTATAAGCCACATCTGCTGCAAACAGGGCTGTCCAGGACCAAAAAGCAGTTTTGTGTAGTCAGATTATGCATATTTAGGCAGAAAAGTCATGTGCAGAGTTTTCATTCTTTTTTGTATATTGTTCTAAATGCAACCAGCCATGCCTTGTAATCCAATAGTATTATTTAAAGTACATTTAAAGCCTGTAGACTGTATAACGGTCTAAAGTCCCAAATCCAATAATTATGTGATGCGCAAGCCTCATAAGGTAAGCGAACATTTCCTTTATCTACCCTTAATGAAAATTCTTATTTCACATGCTCCTGCTCCCAGGCACTGAAACCCACAGTGGGAGGGTTGCAGCAACAAAGGCAGTGCTATCAAGCCAGGAAGCAGTGGGCAGGGCTAGGTGTGGCCAGGTGCTGATTGACCAGATACAGGCTTGTGAATTAGCAGTGACAGTGCTGATAGCGCACACCCCCTGCAACACCTACTTATCACACTGTAGTGCATGCAGGCACAGCTTATATGCGAGTGGTGACTCTGATTTGCATTCAGGAGCAGTGCAGTATTGTTGCCACCCCATCACAGAAAGCTGCATTAGGTGGACTTCACAGGCAGGATCAACAGGTATTTGTGGGACTTGGCAGTAGCACTAAAAATAAAATGTAAATGCAGATACACTTATAATTACGGCTGCAGTTCATATTTTATTAAATGAGAGGCTATAGTTCAACTTCAAGACCCATCTATCTATAAGATTGCAACTGTTTTTACCCTGTGTTTAGGCAAGTATAACAGATGGTTCTTGTACTATAGAGAATATTTTTTTCTTTTTTCCCTTGCATGCATGTTTGATTTAAATGATTATATAAGGTGGAAACATTTGGTTATCTGTCCATCATGCACAATTGTGAAGATTAATTCCAATTTACATGCCTATGTTCTTACAGAAATTCCTCGGAAACAGTGACAACTACTCCCACAAGAGGAACCTCTTCAATCCTCCATTTTCCGCACGTTATGTGCGCATTTATCCTCAGTCTTGGCATGAACGGATCACCCTGCGTATGGAGCTTTTGGGTTGCAACATTTAAGCAGAAGATGCTAGAAAATAATAAGATTGCACAGCAAGAGATTTATTTTCCTTAAGTTCTACCCATCATCAATTCCCTTACTTTCCTAAGCTTACCACGGTTGGGAGGCTATTATAACTCACCAGGCAATTTCTAACCTGAACTAAAGTGAAGCAGACCTAACTCATAACTAGAACCTGAGATTGGGACACCTCACTGAATCGCAAAAACTACTATAGCTAAACCTGGTGCGCAAATAGATGTTTTGGTGTATGTAGTGAATAACTGTATTATTTGCTGTACAATGTTTGTGATGGCTGTAATAACTGTTTTATTGTTTAACCCATTCAGTATTGTAAGGCTTGTGCAATGTTTTATTCTAAAGCCTAACTCTTGCCAATAGTTTTTTAAGGCAGATTGGGGAAAGGTAAAAATCTTCTGCGGGCTTGGTGCCTCTTTGTAATATTTCTTCTTACTTGTTCATAAGAAAACAGTCATGACCTGTCTGTACATTATGAACAGTACAGAAAGAAAAAATATTCTATATTATGGCTGTTTGTGCCTTCCTGTCTCAGGGGACTTTTTGTATCCTTACTTGTCCTGGTGTCTCACCCATAAGATCTGAGGCTAATTGACCCCATGGAATCACAGACCGTAATAAAAACCTGTCATTATTTGGAATCTTTCTCCTCCCTAGTTTTTAACAAAAAGTATTGGTTTGAATTATGCATTAAAAAAATAATTACAATGCTGCAGCTCCCAGTATTGGTAGAACAGCATTGGAACAGTGCAGTCCATTTCATTACCTCGGGGCAACCTAAGTGCCGCATTTACATTTGTAATGTAGAAGTGATCTGCATAGTGATAGCCTACTGTAACATGTGTTGGGAACTCTCAAAGTCATAACACAATATATTTGAGCAGTCTAGATTTAATCGTGGCACAGCTTCATTTCTCTAGAACCAGAGCTTGGCTGGCACTGCACCTAAAGCTTACCGACACTTCGGGGGAGCTGCCAAGCAATGGACACAAGTCCTGATGTCATACATTCATAATAGAGGCCTAACGGTAATTCGCACTGGTTGATGCATTCCCATGTAGTGTTCATCTTAGAGGATGAAAACTGGTGTACTTGGGCACATGGAAATGCCAGCTGGATGCTGCAGAGGCTTTAATCACACAGCATTATTTCTCATATACAATATTTTTAGATGGGAAGGACTGGTTCAATATTTAGTTACAGGGTTGTAAAATAATTTGTGCAGTTTCAAATAAAAAATTCACATGATCATAAAACCCAAATTACAATTTGATTTCTTTAAAATAAGTTCACACTCACAAATATAAAGGCCTGGGCTTTTGTACTTCGATAGGTTCTGAGCTTGAAAGGAGATATTACCAGAGACAGAGCTCACCTCTCTCTAATACGACTGAAGAACATTGAAACTTAGCTCCTCTAGGGTAGCCTGTTGCTTTATTCTGCTGATTTTCCGGACTTATGGCTGTAGATCCTTGATCATTCAAAAGACGGTTCTTGGATTGTGAGGAAGACCACTGCCAAGGCCGGCGACCATCTGACCATCATCTACAGTGCATGGCCTAACTTAGCTTTATGATACCTTACAAAGGCTGCTCAATTGGTACAGTCCTGTGCGATATTTTAAAAGTTTGGTGCAGTTATTGAAATTTTAATGTGCATATTTGTGATTTGTTGTTTTTAGCTTTTATGAAAAACAAGTGTATTTAGATTTACTCCTCCTTCAAAAGGATAAAATGATTATTTAAACCCAGTATTTTGTAAGAATACACCTCGCAATAAGTTTTTGAATTTCTTTTATTTCTTATTGCACTGTATTTCTTTAATTACTTTGGTAAAGTACAGGTAGATTGTGGACAATGGAGTTTTATTCCTGTTCCATTCTTTGCACATTTCAAACTGCACTCTAACCACATATGTAAAATTAATAATTGTGTTTATAAATTGTTTACTTGACTGTTCACTTTTGATTAAAATGTCTTTGGACTGAGAAAAAAATATGCGTCAATTCAGAGCTACAAAACAAAAACAGAAAGGTGATATAAATGTGTATGTTTTCTGAGCTTATCATAATTGAAGATATTTGACCTAAAGTTGTGATTTAAAGTTCAAGGTATAAGTAGAAGGACTTCAGGCAATGTCTCCTGGATACGTATACAAATAACTACAGACATGCCATACGCGTTGCCTTCCGTGCTGGGTGAAGCATTCCCCCCCAGCTCACCGAAGCCCCGCCCCCCAGCTTGGTCACCAAGCTACGTGTGAAGGAGACAGGAGGAGACTCCCTGTCCCTTACTTGCTCTTCACTGGTGAGGCATCGAGATTGATGTCCTCCAGTTTTTTTTTTTTTTTTTTTGATTGGACAGCTTGGACCAATGATGCATTTGCCATTGGTCCAAACCATCTACAGAGCTTCAAGCATCTAACACAGAGTAGAGGCTGTTGCAGCTCTGGATTCACTCTGTTAGGTTACACAGCAGCAGTCTTCCCCACTGCTTGTGTAACCTCACGTAGCAGTCAAAAGCTGGATGCAGCACCGCATGTAATTAACAGACAGGTCTCCATCCATGACAGGTTACACAGCGGGGAGGCTTTCCCTGCTGTGTAACCTGGTACAAGCCGCTCTGAATGGAGAAAAAGATGTCCGCTTCAGACTTGAGGCTCTAGGTCAATACTAGGTGAGGCTCTGCCTACCCTGATCGCACGTCCCTGCCATACAGTATATGTTGGCATTTAAGTGCAGCTGCAGCCAAAACTTCTTTTTTTGGGGGGGGATGGAGTAGAGTGATTATAACCCCTGTCAAATTTCTATCTCTGTCTGTCCCACATAGGGAGATTCACTTTCTCTATTTGTCCTGGTGACTTAACAGTGAAAGAAAATTACACAATCTGTGTGTTCACCAGAACAGGAATAGATGGGAAAACCTTCAATAGGGACACTAGTTCTGGTAACCCTCCTAATCACCAGGATTTTTTCCTTTCACATCCTGTTGTGGCTATCAGACAGAAAGTGAAGGGAGTTATAACCCTCCCTTAGTCTATCCAAAACTAATAAAGTTCTATTTCAACAGGAAGTATTTCTTGGGTATTTCTATACCTTGTCTGAAATCTCCCTACATAGGCTTTCTGCTGTAGAGAATCTGTTGTACAGCTTCAGATACTGACCATAACTTCAATCTGTGTGCTGATGAAGACCAAAACAGTGCTGCCTAGGGGTAGGTGTTCTGCTTCAGCTTGGCTTGTGATTGCTTTAAACATTTTACTTGCATGTCTGTCAGGTAAAACACATCACATTACCCAGAAATCCTTTCCCCTTTTCATAAGTTATTTACACGCAGCTTCAGATTGAGGCTTAAGGTGAGTGCCTGTTGTCACCTGTAAAAGTGATTGGGGAAAAATGCTGACAAAACTTGATGTGTTAAGAATTTGAAAGCAGCAGACCAGGACAAAAGTTCAATTTCATTGGTGGAAATTAAATGACAGGCTTAGTCCACCTGAAACTCTTATTTGTTATCCCTTTAGAAGATTTGCAGGTATGCTACAGGGGTAACTAGTGGTTTACCTAAAAATGAATCCATTGAGAAATTTTGCCTAGGACTACCCAGCCATTGCCTACAGCTTCTTCTGCAGAACAATTGGTAAGGAGACATCTGCAACCCACCGTTGTTTTTTTTATATGACTTTCCAATAGACTGTATTGGCACGTATCTCTATTACAGAAATTTGCCATGTGTATTACAAAAAATTATGTGTGCGATAAAAAGTGCTTAAAAGTTCATTATCGCCCTGCAGGGAAACCCAAGAGAGCCTGATTCTCGCCCAAGTTCTACTTTAACGCAATTCTGTCAAAATATTGGTCACCACCATACCTGGCATCTGTTTTAAAGCCAACGTGTGTTTAGGTTTAGCTGCTTTTTTACCCCTTATTCCACTTAGAATCAAGAATATGTAAAAAGTGATTGTAAATACATTTACGTCACGTTCCAGCTGCAATCGTACATGTTAATTGGGTATCATTGAGCAAAGCCATAACCATTTGTCACTGGTGCAAGAATGCAGAGATATTTGCACATATGGAAACCATTTGTCCATGAAGGTTTAAACATTTTTGTCTGTAAAATATCTAATGCCTTGGGACATCCTGATGGGACCTGGTGTGAAGTAAAAAAAAAAACTGATTGTCTGAAAACAATGCGATATGCTGTATTCTCACGTCACAGTGGAGGATTCTTAATTAAAATAACTGGAATGCATTACAAAAAGTAAACAGATGACATAGCCCATCCCTGGGGCACCGTAAGGGTTTTCCAAAACCTCCTGCAAACTCACTATTGTAGGCCAGAGAAGATACGAATAACAAGGGACATTTCTCTTACTGTTGTTGTTATTATTATTTAAAGTAATTGGAGTTTACAATTACTAGTTGGAGGCATGGTTCAGTGCTGTGTTTATCTATAATTGAAAACACTTGCCGTTCAGGAAGAATATAAAGAGCTAAAATGATATGCTGTACTAATGCCAGATAAATGGTACTACCAGCACAAGAGCCAAAACCTCATATGAAGCAGCCGTTGGCTCCATGTGTTTTTGTTTCAACATTCCTCATACTGGACTGACATCCAAATGAATTTATTTGAATGTTTTTGTGATTCGACTTTCAGGGATCTCTCATAGAGATTTATCAGTGCATGTTCAGCTGTCGCTTACTTTTCCCTGTAGAAAAGGGAATGCTCCAGTCAAAGTGTTATCACAGTGCTTCAAAGCCTTCCCCACGTACTGAAATTTCACATAGAAGTACTGTACAGTCAATCTCACTGAGATATACACCGGGGGATGTGTGACAAATGTCTAATGCTACACATACATGTAGTAATATGTAATAGTTGCCCAAAGTGATGCAACAGATGCAATCGATTTTGCTAGTGTATGTGTGATAGGATAAATAACAGCATTTCAAAGCAACAAAAATCTCAGGATCCTTAATGTTCAC